GACCCCTCAGGAGCACGTGGGGGAGGCATCTCCAGCCTCCCTGTCTCTCCCTGTGGCCTCTCCTCTCCTGCACGACCCCATCCGCCAGGCTGACAACCAGGATCCACCCGGGGGCCTTCGGGGCTGGGACTCTCCGCCTCCACAGTGAGCTACACAAACTCTCCACATACAGTGGTACCTCAGTTCGGGAGCTGAATTCTTTCCACGATTCTGGTTCCAAACCAAACTGGACGAGAGCTGAGTCAAATTTCCCCATAAGGTCGACATTGAACCTGACCACTGAATTTGATCCGGTTCTCGTCCAATTCGGTTTGCGACCAGAATCATGGAAAGAATTAAGTTCTTGAACTGAGGCACCACCGTATTTCTCAGAATCAAGTATTTTGTGATAGCAAAGGAAAGCAGACAACTACTGGCTCCTTGCTGTTCTTCCACACTCCCTTTTCTTCTCAGTAATATCTTAAGGCAGTTTTCCTATTTGTAGAAAGTTTTCATTTTGGTCTTTCAAAAGCACACACAGCTTTTTAACCACAGAGAGACCTCTGGACCAGCCCACTGAGTACTGGCAACAAGGAAAGCTAAGCAACACGGGGCAGGAGACACAGTATTGTCACTTGTGGGGTTCAGGAAGAGTTACCCCACATCTCAGAGCCCCAGTTTCCTCAACTGCAAAATGAAGGGCTGACGTCGCTGATCTCTGAGTCTTTTTTGCTCTAGCATCCCCGGGAATGATTCTAAAGAGAATGACGGCCAGCTGTGGTGATGCACAAGGCAGAATAATAGCCGTGAGTTCAAGGCCAGCCTGACATCATAGCGAGACCCTGCCTCAGAAAAACAGAGAGACAGAGAGGACAGAACAGATCAGACCTGCTGCTAGGGTTTCCCAGATTCTTGGCAGAATCCATTCACAGGCTCTCCCAGAAAGAAACAGGAAGGAAATTCTAACACTCTCAAGCCAGGTTGTCAGTTTAAGGTGAAATTAGGCCCCCTGGCCACACACACATACACACACACACACACACACACACACACACACATACTACTTCCCTCTCCATCAGCCAAAACTGGGCGCCCAGAGGCTGCCTGCCAGCTCCCCAGGGGGCCGCAACTAGGCACCCCCCCACACACCCCCACCCCCCCGCACTGGAGAAGAGAAAAC